AGTCATTCCGTGCTGGTAATGCTTAGGCTCAGATACATTTTATTTTAGAGCCAGACTAGCATGTGCAGATGCTCTTGTATGTATCTGGAGGCCAGATACCCGCCTGCTGTAAAGTCTCATCCAAATCCAGGCGTCACACACAAACTACAGTATATGGCCCCCTACTGGTCACTCACTTCTCTCTATTCCATGCAGCATAGGATGATCAAGTGGTGGCTGGAAACCCTCGGCCTTCACTGCCTGACCCTTGGGTCTACATCAGCAGGTGGATGGAGGATTTCATGATTTGTTTATCTCTGAGGGCTGATGCAGTTGGAGTGCAGGTGATGGAAGTGAGGGGGAGAGAGAGAGAGAGACAGAGAGAGACAGAGACAGAGACAGAGACAGAGACAGATCGGCTCTTTCAGACAGCCAGTGAGGGAGCTCAGGACCTGAGAGTGGCCACCAACCATTTCTAACTCTTGGCTCAGTCCTGGAGGACCCTACTTGGTCAGGTCTTACCTGGACCCTTTTATCTCCAGCTGCCCCATTTGCCAGAAGTTGTAAATTCTCAGAGTTGGTGAGACTCCTAATTTGAGAGAGCACCCCAGGGACCCTGACACATTCCTTGATTCTTCCATGCCAACCCTTGCTTTCACCCCACCTTTCCTAGCAATCCTCCTCCATGTGCATAAAACCATTTCATAGTTTCATGGTTTTATAACCTGCTTTATGAGAGCGATTTCACTTCTCTTCATTTCATAAGCAAGTAGTTGTGTTTATACAAATAAGAAAAGCAGTGCTTCTGTACTTTCAGGGAGAAAATCTTATCCCTCATCTTGCTTTCATGCTGCCAAATTAGGAGCCAGGCTTCAGATATGGTCATATATCTTTGGACAGGCATCACCCCAGTCTCTAGGTCATCTTCATCCTAGTTTCTGGTTGAACCAGATGTTTGTGGGTAGCTCAGCAGGACCGTAATAGGGGATGAGGAATGGGGTGGGCTGGAGGTCTGTGCAGAAGACACACTGACTTACTTCTTCACCTCTGACTAAGATGTAGCAGCCAGCCACCCCCCATCGGTATTTCAGACCAAGTATGCTCCCACACACTACTGGATCCCTTATTTTCCCCCAACCAGCTACCTGCTTCCCAAGCCCGTAGGACAAGTCACTGCCTGTCCTTAGTGACTATCACAGCACGTGAGAAATCAAGTCAAGGTTACGGAGCACTTGCCTCCCACTCTCCAAGTATGCAGGGTCTCACTGAAAGCTGCTAGGAGCTGTGGTGGTGGTTTCTGGCGGAAGTGCATACAAGTTAACTTTCTAATCCGTCAAAAAGTGTCCTCCAGTTATATTTGCTGTGTTTGAGCTCTGGGAGGATCTGGCTCTCCCCACTCAAATCATCTGACCTGTTCCATTTTATTTATTTATTTATTTATTTATTTATTTTTGGTTTTTTTCCGGTACCAGGAACCAAACTCAGGACCTTGCGCTTGCCAGGCAGGCGCTTTGCCGCTGAGCTAAATCCCCAGCCCCTTGGCCTGTTCCATTTTAGAAGCGGACTATTTTTCTCTTCTAGGTCAAGGACACCTAGGGTGGAGGAATGGAGAGTTGTTATCCGGAAGAGAACTTGGCTCCAGATCAGGAGTAGAAGAGTCCTTGGAGGGTCCGTTTTAGTCTTTAGCTCAGATCCAAGAATAGAAATTTAGATATTTAGAATATTTTAATGCAAAGGATTAAGTAAATATATAAAAACAATTCACAAATATATTCTTCCTTTAAAAATTCAACCACTATAAATAAAGCTAACAACATTCCCCGGGAGCCCCTCCTCCTCCCTGCCTTAACCGCAAATCTTACTATTTTCAGTCTGGTCCGTACCTTTCCAGAGCTGTCTGTCTTCACAGGGCCTTAGAAGCACAGAGTTATGTGCTGAACATGTGCAATTGTTTTTTAAATGTAACTTCCACTGCTCCGTACCTCTTTCTGTACAACTTGCCCTTTTTTCTCAATGATTTGCCTGGGTAACTTTCCATTTCAGTATCTTTTCCAATCTACTTAACTTACCGTGGGTTGTTTCATTTCTCTCTTACCACTGACAGGTTTTTTCCAGCTCATTATGTTAAGCATTTATAAACAATGCATCCATAAACATCCTCAATCTTGTTTCTTTGGTGGAATATCTAAGAGCTGAATGGCTGAGTCATAGAGCATTAAAAAAAAAACTAAACACTGCCAATTTTCTCTCCACAATGGCTGTAACAGTTTAACCATACAGAAATGATTAGGAATCTGGCATATTTGCAGGGCTAGATGCTTTCCCAAGTTGTCATTCTTCTTGGCCTGTTGTCCCTTTTGGGCCAGAGAGGGGAAGTGCAAGTGTATCACACAGCCATGGAAAGGGAGTCATTTCCCCAGTTGGGGCTACAGGGCCCCCTCTGCTTTCTCTGCAGACCAGTTGCTGCCCCCACCAGCTCTACTCAGTACTGCAGAATGGATGCTGCTTGGATGCTTGCTCCTAGCGGCCATCGCATCCTTTGTGTCACCTTTATGAAGCAAGGAACACAGGCCCTGCCATTATCTGCTCAGCGTGGAGAGCAATGCATAAGGAAAAGAGGCGCTGGGAGTGAATTGCTGAGGACTGGCTCATTTCAGCAGTTGCTTTTCTACAATGAGTCATATGCATTGCATTTTTTGCAAGAGGCTTACAATTATCACTGTGCTACTTCTTAGTAGGTAAGACACCCACATGATTTAAAAATATCAAATTATATAAAAAGTATATGAAGAAAAATGTTGGTTCTACCCTGTCCTAATATGTTTACCAGCCTCCCACAATGACTTTATTCATTTCTTGTGTATCAGTTAGTTTTGAAGATCAAATATAAGCACAATGGGCTATGTTGCTTTCCTCCCTACCCTTTGTTATGTGAAAGTTAGCACATCTTAAACACTGTCTGTGTCTTGTTCATTTTTTAGTTACCAGCATGTCTTGGAGAGAATTCCATATCACTACAGAGCTCATTCTCATTCTTTTTAATAGTTGCATAGTATTCCATGTCTCACCATCATTTATTATTTTTTTTCTGGTACCAGGGATCGAACTCACGACCTTGCGCTTGCCAGGCAGGCGCTGTGCTGCTGAGCTAAATCCCCAGCCCCTCTCGTCATCATTTAACCAGTTGATAGATAAGTAGATTATTTGCAAGTTTTGCTATTACTGACGTTGTGCAATGAATAATTTTGACCATATGTAATTTCACATGGGTTACGTTTATCTGTAGGATAAATTCCCAGAAGTGAACTTGTTGGGCCAAAAGGGAAGTGTATTTGTGATTTTCACAGTTATTATCCATATTTTCTATAGAGAAGTCATACTAATTTATGTTCCCATGTGTAATGTTTAACAGTGGAATTTTTCTGCATAGTTTCACTAAGAGGGTGTGTTAAGTTTTTTGATTTTTGTCAGTCAGAGAAGAGAACACAGTCACCTCAGAGTGCTTCCTCTTTGACTTTCCTGGTATGAGAGTAGTGTTGAGCATTGTTCATAAAGTCCAGGACCCAACAGTAGTTCTTTTTCTGTGAACAGAAGGTCAATGTTCTTTGTCTACTGTTTTGTTGGATTCTTGCTACTATTTTTCTAATGTTTTGAGGAAGTTCTTGATATGCTCAGCATATTACCCATTTATATGGGTTTGGAGTTACAAATGCTTTCCCCACCACCCCGGTTTGTTTTGTGTTTTGATGTTGCCTTTGCCTTCTACAGTCCTGAGTTTACTTTTTGCATCGTTCATTTTCATACCTCCATGCCTACATTCACACTGGTCCCTTTACCTGGGGTGCCCTTTCTTTATTTTTCTATCTGGGGAACTTCCACTTGTTCCAGTAGGCCTGACTCATGCTGCTCTACTTTTTAAAAATGAAAAAAAAATTTTTTCAGATAATTTTCTTGAATGGTGAATGTTTGTAGTACATAATGCTGATTGTCTTCATGGGACAAGGAGTTGGTATTTGTACATATACATTTCAATTTCTTTTCTCATTGCTTTTCCCTCACCTCCTTTCTCCCTCCTTCTCTTGATCCCCTCCTTTATCTTTTGAGAAAATCTATTTCCCTACTTCCTATTATCTCTCTTTTATTTTGCTGTTTATTTATACTTTGGATTTCTCACATAAGAGAAACCATGTGATCTTTAAGTTTGCATGTCTATTACACTTAACATTGTGGTCTCAGGGTGCACCTATTTTTCGACAAATGATGCACGTTCATCCTTCTTTACAGCAGACCAGTACTGCATTGTGTGTATGCTGCTCTCCTTGACTTTTGCTCTCTCCTACAAGAGCTTGTGACTCCTTTGCTGGCTACTCCTTTCGTACTTTTTCTTGCCTCTGTTTGTCACATCACTTTCTACATAGGAGGCATACCAATTCATTTTCCCATGTGTAATGTTTAACAGTGGGATTTTCCCCCACAGTTTCACCAAGAGGGTGTGTTAAATTTTTTGATTTTTGTCAATCAGATAAGAGAACACGGTCACCTCAAAGTGGTTCCTCTTTGACGTTCTTGATATGAGTAATGTTGAGGATTGTTCTGGCAGTGAAGGATCCAACAGTAGTTTTTTTTTGCTTGTACACATCTTTCCTTCCTATCTAACTTGGAACTCCTTACATTTCTTGTCTGTGTTTTCCTAGCCCTTAGTACATTAGCATTTACTTAATGGGCATCTGTGGAATAAATGGACAGACAAGTCACTGGCAGATATTACCAGCAGCTCCCTCTATCAGCTTCAGCTGATCCTAGTTTTTCAGATGAATCTTGTGCATGGAACTTCCTTTTGTCAAAAAACAGAAATGAAGAGGATGAGTGAAAGAACTGCTTTTGTACCAAGGCGTGTGTTAGGTTCTGTCCAGCACTCAGCAATGAGTAGGGGCTGCTAGGCCTCCCCGACAAGAACTCTTATGGTCTCATTTATCTTTACTTTTCTGTGTCAAATCCAAGAAAAGTCCAGAGGCAAAGCATTCTTTGTTTTGAAGTGAAATTTATTTCAGAACTATCAAGACAGTGTGATCACACTTCTTCATTCATCAGTATTTTCACCTGCACAATCCAAACTTATCTATTTTCAGTTTTAAATGAAAACTTGATGCAGACAGTGTCCCAGTCCAAATTACATTCGCGCCATAAATATTAAAGACTAGGCTCTTTCCCAGGCACTGCTGCCACTTGTCCCCCTTGAATTAAATTAAATAGATCAACCAATCAATAAATAAATAAATAGAAAAGTGGTTGCTCAACAGGAGCTGGGAGAGAAAGAGAGAGGGAGTCTTTGAGCAGAATGTGCTAGCGTTTCCACCAGGCTGGCTTGGAGAAAGCAGGAGAGGAGAGAGGGGAAGGAGAGAGAGCTGTTGCCCCAGGTGGTAGCAAGAGGACTCCTTAGCATGCACTTAGGGAAGACAGCTGGGTGTCGGTGGGTAACGGTCAAGTCCAGCCTGCAGCTGTGCTCAAATCCTCTTATTTCAGCCCTGAGGGTCAAAGGTGCATGCACCAGATGTGGACCCACTGGGTGTGAGGTGCTCTTTAGGAAGACACGAATTCCATGCTGAAGTCAATTATGTCCTGGCCGCTGTTATTTCCCAGGAAGACAGGCATGTGTTCTGCTTGCGAGGTGCTGATGTACCAGTTGGGGAACTGGGCAGACTCAAACTCCACTGTGCTTTTGCTGGTTATCTTGTTGAAGACAAATCGCTTTTCCATCTTCTTCTTTGGGTACTGTTTGCCATCTACACTCTGCAACAAAATAGAAATGAAAATTTTTGTGAGGGAGGAGACAAAGATTCTAGCAGAGATAATGTTGGGGCTAGCTAGAGGAATTGGGTGGGCAGGCTGTGGGACCGGGGACGGCCTCCTGCGTTGTCTTTGGGAGCCCACATAGTCACTGAAGAGCCCTTTGTCTTTTCTAAATCTGAGGACCAATACTGGGGAACATTGTGTAGGTGCAAATTAAAAGAAAAGAAGTAAAACTTAGGCTAAAGCTTCTAGGAGTACCTAGTTTTCAGGTACATTTGCTGTAGTTTTTCTCTGGTCCTGGCTAGAATGACATCAATATGCCAATGACGTTTCTGCAAGGAAAGCTGCAAGTGGTGGTGGGGGGATTTTGGAAGTGCAGCAGAGATTAATGAGAGGTTCCTTTAATTGATTGGTTTCTTAAATTGTCATCACTCAAATAAGAGAAATCCTAAAGGTCTGATCCTTGTAGCTTTAACACTGCACAATTTATTGGGGTGAGAACAATGGTAGAACATGATAGCAGTGGCAAAATGATTTAATTTCCCTGAGTAGGAGTGAAATTTGCATGTGCTTAAAAATTATGTTAAATCCATTTTACATTTATGCAAAATTGTTAAGCAGACTTGCTCTCAGACTTTCCGGGGGAAGGAAGTGATGGCTGAGGACGTTTCAGAGGAGGCTGAGGGCCTCCACCGTGCTATTTGCTTACCTCCAGCTGCAGGATAGGTTTATCATCTTTCATCACACAGGACAGGTATAGATTCTTTCCCTTGAGGCCCAAGGCAACAGGGATTTTGTCATCGCTTCTTTCTCCTTGCACAAAGCTCATGGAGAACACCACTGGAGAAAGGAGAGGGACCTTGTGGTCAGGGGAACAGTGTTGCCAGGTGGGTCCACCACTGGCCTCCACGATAGAACTCAGATCATTTTACTTTATTATTTATTTATTTACTTATTTTTGGCACCAGGAATTAAACTCAGGACTTTGTGCCTGCCAGGCAGGCACTTGTGCCACTGAGCTATATCCTCAGCCCCTGAGAACTCAGACAATTTTAGCATCTTCCATGGGAAACCACAACACTTTGGTTTCACAGATAGGATAAATGACTTCTCATAGATAATAGCTGGGTCAGTTGGTGGATAATGTAGAAGGCCAGGCAGGAGTTAGAAGCTGTGTTTCCAAAAGAAATAAGGCACCAGAGTTGTTTCAGGAACATGGCAGCAAGTGGGGGAAGGGCTGGGAGAGGAGTAGCGTGGCTGGGGAAAATGGATCCAAAGAAGAAACTCTTATTTTGAGCTTCCATAGTCATAGTGCTCTCAGGTGGGGGCCTGGGTTCATGCTCACTGCTTAGCTCTAAAGAAGTAGTATTATCCTTGCCTGGCTAGGAGCAGGAAGATTTGACCTAAAGGATGCTGCCCACAAGACTGGCAGCCTTAGGGCAGAACATGTTGCTGCTGTCAGCAGCTCCCTTACTCAGTCACGTGGCACGATGCCAGCGTGATCCCTCTAGGAAGCGGTTGTCTCGGCACATTTGAAACATGTGCCAGTTATGGCAGACAGATATATTTCCTGATGGTTAGTAAATTTCCCCACAAGGAACCATGTGGTATTGGGTAGGAAGGGGGTTAGGGTTAGGAGTGGGGATGAACCCCATTATCTTTTCACTATTCTCATTTCAGGCTCAACCACAGGAAAAAGGAACCCACAGGCAGTTATAGCATGTCCATCAAATGACCCCAGACTGTCCCTGTGTGACTTGGAGGACAATGGTCCTGGGAGAGTTTGAGCAGTCTAATTCTCCCAGTCAAACCTTTTGCTAACCAGTGAACATACCAAAACATTCAAATTAATATAATGGACCAAAACATGATATATTCCTATGCTCTTATTTACGTTTCTTTTCACTTCTATTAATAATTTGCTTTCATGGTTACTTTGTGAAAAACATACAGAATTAGCAACCTGTCTGGGAAGCCAGGCAGGGAAGCCAAAATGCCTGCAGCTTACCTTGTCTGTTCAGATTCTCTCCATTGAGATGAAGAGCTTTCAGTTCACAGGGGTCGGAAAACACCAAGTGTTTATGTTGTACATCCTGGAGTTTGCAGTTCCGTGATGCAACCGGGGCATCACACTCAAACTTATCATTCCACGTGTTGCAGATGATGGGTTCTGCAATTTGGAAAGCACATATTGTGAGGTCAGAAAATTGGAAGGGCAAGCCTTATGCTCTGCCGGGAGAACTGGGTTTCTTGGAGGACATCGAAGCATGCATGGTCAAAGTGGAACTTAAACATTAGTGGGGAGGAAGTTGGGAGTCGGGTGGTCGAGAACGCTGGACCTGACACTGTAAAACCTGGGTTCAAGCTTCACCACTATTATCACTCACTGTGGGCTTGTAATAGACGTACTTACTGTATAACACTAGCCTGACAGGGAGGTTGTGAGATTTGCAGGCTGTACCGTAAGGGATACAGTCTGAAAATGAGCGAATTGCACTTGTAAGGAGTTATCAAGGTTCTCTTTAAGAATTGTTTTAGTGAAAGAGATGGTTAATTTTTTTTGGGGGGGGCGGTTCTTTGTTTTCTTAATCACTAGGCTTTCTACTTTTAAAGGGCTTTAACTTGGGGAGGGGAGGTGGCCATTAGTGACGCACCGAGAAACACCTGGGTGAAGATCTACCATCTACTCTGAGCCCTCATTCAGTACCTTCTTCAAAGATGAAGGGGAAGAAGGTCCTCAGGTCGTCATCCTGGAAGGTCCATGTGCAAGGAACCAGTTCCTTCCTCAGCTTCTCCACGGCCACGATGAGCGATACCACTTGCCTGAAACTCTTGTTGAAGTGCTGGTGGGAGATTTGCAGCTCGATCCCCTCATCAAGAGAGCAGAGGTCCAGGTCTTGGAAGCAATACTGTAGAGAAACCAAGGCAGTGAGCATGGTAGGGTGACCAGGCCAGCGAGATGCTACATGGACATCAGAAAGTAGAAAGGGCTCTTAGCCATAATGGGGGGAAAGCCCCACAGTCTCACCTTCATGTTTTTGGGGCCGTCGACCTCAAAGAACAGTTCATTTTCATCGCTGTAATAAAAACAGACACGGCTCAATGATATCTCCTACACAGGGTTATCTTCCCTTCTATACACACAAGTCTTCACTACTAGGAAAACTGCAAACAGCATTCTGGCAATTCGCATGATGATATACAAGGAATAATCTAGAAGGCAGGTTTTAGAGGGCAGATTCTGGGCCAGCCAAGAAGCATCCCAAGTGCTACCCAATGGACCCTGAGACCTAAACCCTAGACCCACAGAATCTGCTAAAATCTGAACTCTTCCTTTCACCCAAGTCAAATTTTGCAAAGGGGTCCCTTGGATCATCCTCTTCCCTTGCCATCTGCAGGCAGCCCCACGGGAGCAACATTTGGGTGGTCTCTAGATGCCAGGGTGAGACTTCAAGTAGGAAGTGAGTTATTAAACCAGGTTAACTTGCACACCGCTTGCCCCTGAAAGAGGCAGTGTGGAACAAATCTGACCTCTAAGTACAGATAATCCTTCACTCTTGAAAGGGGAGCCCTGGGCACACTACTAGTGTCAGTCTCCCCACAGACCTGTGGTAAGCTGTCACTTCACTGCTGATTTCAGGAACTGCTGCCATAACTGCCTCAGAGACCTGTGAAAAAGAAGAGAAAGTGAGTGACCACTTGCACTGCCACTGCCCCTGGCGGCTGCTTTCATTTGTGTTTCCCTCAGCATCTAGTACATGAAATGATCTGAGAAGGAGTCAGTGTAGGAAAGAGCCATCCTGTGGGCCTAGACGACAGCCTTTGTGCAACCAAATCCACACAAGGAAAATATTGCTAGGAGACTTGGAGCCAAGGCTTAGGTATTGATCTCTCAGATGTCAGCTGCTAGATAAGCAATATTCACTCTCAGAGTATTTTACAAGTAATAGCATGGCAGGAGAACTGACAGTTTTGCAAAAAGCCCAGTCCTCAAGCAGAGAGGGAAGGAGAGGGGTACGGGTGGGAGTAGGAAAGAGATCTTCAGCACCAAGTTGTAAGTAAGAGTTAAAAGTCATACTTGAGCAATGAAGACCCGCTGGAGAGACGTTCAGATCAGCCTGCTGTGCCTTGCACCTGGAAGGAATTTGTGAGCTTCCAGCTTCTCCTTTACTCTTTTATGCCCCTCAAAAGCGGAAGTGAAAAGCTGAGAAATTTTCCCACTGGTTAACTGATGTCACAACCAAGTCATAGGCCCGGAGTGGAGGAAGGGGATTGGCGGTAAATTCTGGGGGAAGGGGCTAATTCACTGAAACAACTCCCTAGTCCCTGGAAGAGCAAGGGGGTAGCAAACTGACACATTTTGCAAATGTGTCATTATGCAAATAGGCACCGCTTTTCTTGAGGCTACGGGGCAGATGATGTCAATATTAAGATACTGGATTTTCCTGGGTTGAAAAAGTGTTAATGTGGAATTTCTGCAACAAGTGGGGAACACACAGATGGACATGCACAAACATGTCCTTGTGCTTAAGTTTAGGAAACTTTCCACTTGAAGGTAGAAAAATGGGTGTAATGAAGTGACAGAAACCCTCTGGTTTTGAATTGAGAGTGCTGATCTCTGACAATGGGGGCGCGGTCACCTGCAGGAGCCTCTGGAGAGACACTTGGCCTTCCTTGAGTGGAGCAGGGTACACACTGCACGTAGGATGCACACTCCTGGCACGGCTGGGAGAATCCTACACTGAAGCTCATGCAACCTTGTGAGGCCAGGTGCCAGGACTTCAGACAATCTAATATTGAAACCACATCGGCACTGCATGACCAGTGCCATGAGGGTGAATGAAATCTTACTGTGAAAATGTGGTAGAGTCAAGGCTTCATGATCACAATCACTTTTTAAAAGGTATTGGAGGTGCTCTGCATCTGAAATAATTTTTTAGTGACTTCTTGGTTCTGTAAGAAGATCAAGGGGCTGGGGATTTAGCTCAGCGGCAAAGCGGCTGCCTGGCAAGTGCAAGGTCGTGAGTTCGGTTCCTGGTACCGGAAAAAAAAAAAAAAAAAAAAAAGAAGATCAAGCAGGGAAATGCTATCAGTTGATGATGTCAAGCATCACCAGGCTCTGTTTAACCCAGAGACCAGCAGAATGCCTGACCCATGGTACTGCCCAAGGGCAGCCATTCATTGGTTGAATATATGAGTGACCAGGTCATAAATGGTGCAGGGATAAGAACATATCCTGGTTTATTGAACTCATTATAGCATTAAATTGAAACTTCACTCACTTTTCTAGTTCCCCAGGGAGACTGTGAGCTTTTTTTACCACCAAGTTTAACATACTGCCCAGTATGTGAATGCAGGCAGGAAGGTTTTGCTAACTGAATGGGTCGGCAGGGATTGGACAGTGTTTTCATTCAAATAGGCAGGTGCCTACTATGTATTAGGTACTGTGCTTTTTCTGCATTATCTACGAGAGATAGCCCTTGAGTTTGACAGGGGAGAATATCTGAGGTACGAATGAAATAGTCTCTGCTTTGGAACAGGGATATCAGCATGAACTTGCTCACAAGGAGCTGTCCGATTCTCAGTTTGACTCCTAGTACCTTGACATCAGGAAGGAGACACAAGAGTCTTATCTATGGTAAGCTACAGATTCTGTTGGAAATCTAAACTCTGTTTATTGCCTCCTTTCTTGGGAGTTTGGTAAACAATAATACATTCTCAACACCAATCCCTCATAAAATTATCTACTTCTACAGATACTCCAGAGGCCTTGTCTGGACAGCCTTGTGAAATCTTCTGTTTTCACTTCACAAGATCCACTCTGCAAATTAATCACTCATTCCCATCCTCCATGGAGGGACTGATACCTTCCTCAAATCTTATGTGCAGTGCCCAGAGACCCTCAAGGCCTGATGGCCCTGTGGGCTCCCCAGAAAAAAATACAGAGATGTCTATTAATGTGATTACAAGCCAAGCAAAGGAGGATGAAAGGCAGTGACAGGAAGGAAGTATGTATGTGACGGACTTGGGCATCCGCTGTGGTTGAATCAGTTCAGGAACTTGGAACACAGGTCAGGAGCCTTGAGTACTTGCACTTCTAGCTGTGGAATTCCAGAACCTCAGAATAGGGCAGCTGAGGGGAGCTCTAGTGACGCCTGTCAGATCTCGTGGGATGAAGACAAATTGCTGTTTGAATGTGAGTAGAGGGTGAAGATACAAGGCCAGGTGATATGAAGTGAGTGTTAGAGTGCAGATGGAAGAGTGAATACATTCTTCCTGCTTGAGGGAAATTTTGGAACCATGGGGCAATGCCCTCTGATGTAACAGTCTCCGCAGTTCTGCCACGTCTCATCCTGACTCTCTGGACTTGACCCCAAGCCATCTACTATCCTGTCCATTTCAGGAAGTAAAACCTCTTGTCGTGTCAACTGGGCAGGTTACACAATGCATGTATCAAGCCCTGTCTTTCCAAGGAGCCAGCTCAAGCCACAGCACTTCCTCCTAGTTCCCAGTGAGTAGAAAACAACTCAGTGTAGAAAAAGTCGCACTAAGTTTGGAGAGTGCAAGCATGACATCACTGTGAATAGCAACGTAGACCCAAGGAAATGAATTAAGCGGAAGTGGGGAGCTGGCAATGGCAGGATGTTGTGAGAAGCCCCAGCTTTGGGGAAATTTTTAGCTTGTGAGCCACTCCAATGCTTCTTAGCTGCAAGTTCCCTGCTCTGGCATGTTCCACAAAGACAGGGTGCAGGTATTTATTCAAACCTGCAGATGTCATGGCACCCTTTGATATTGGGCTTCCCAGCCTCTGTTATCAGGGTTGGTCACAAGCACACTGGTCTTCAGTCATTCTGAACAAGAAGCAAGAGAAACAACCATGGGTTGATTCTTAAAATCTCCTGTGTGCACATAGTGATATCTGCTCTCTACAGTGGGCCATTTCTTTGTTCACTCTTTGGTGATTAATCTTGATTGTCAACTTGACTGGCCTGATAGACACTTAGGAGGTTAGTAAAGCACACTTCTGGATGTGTCCAGGGAGATTATAGGGCTGTGACCTTGGGGACTGTATCCAGTCCAGGGGCTCTTGCTGTCTGGCTCTTCTGCTCTCTGCTTTCTGATTGGTATAAGTTCAGCATCTTTGCTCCACCAAGCCCTTCTGTCAAGCTTTTTCTGCCTTGGAACCAGATAGTCACGGACTGAAACCATGACAAAAATAAGCCTTTTCTGTTTTAAATTGTGTATGTCAGGTATTTTGTCCTAGCAACAGAAAGCTGGCTAATATAGCCCTCCTGCTCAGAAGAGAGCTAAGCAATGATTGTTTCCACCATTTTCTCCAAAGCTCATTTCATGCTTGGAGTTGATTTTCTAACATTGTTCTTAGGAGGCCGTCATTTTCTTCCCACCATTTTCATAGGCCTTCTGCTATCTAAACTTGTCAATGACGTTCTGTGTACCACATCCTTTTCGGTAGACACGTCTTTCTGTTTCTTTCAGTTTCTGGGATTGGGCAATATGATTTTGGGTTTTAAAACCTCTGTCTGTCTTCCATCTCCAGTGGGCCTGTCACCCTCTTGGACCCACGTACTCAGAGTGGGGAAAGGTAGACTGCCAGCGGCATTCTGTTCTCTTCTCTGGTTTAGAATAAAGAGGGCTTAAATAAAGGAGCAGGTGGCTGGGCCTGGTGAGGTTCATGGTCTCCAGTAGCTTTTCCTGACTGGTTGAATTGTTATTCTTCCTCAAAGAGGCCAGTGGAAAACTTGTCTTTTCTTTGGACCAGCAGAAAAAGTCCTTGGGTGGGAAAGGCAGGTGGCAGGTATTTCCACTTGGTTGTTTTTTTTTTTTTTTATCATATACATATTGGGCACAAGAGCATGAAGCATAGAGAGCTCAGGCGCCCATTTGCCCAGGGTTCAGGAAATATTTTCTGTAAAAGGCTACATAATAAATGTGTCATATGCAACTAATCTACTCTGCTCCTTTTTTTTTTTTTTTTTTTTTTTTTTTGCAAATCTGGAAAAGCAGTCATAAATATCATGTAACTCAATGAGCTTGGCTGGGTTTGCCGTGCTGATCCTAGATTGTATGCTACTGTTTCCTGCCATTGTATTATACCATTTTTCCTGTGCATAAGATTTAGAAACAATACCTTTTTTTCTTTTTTTAAAAGCTGCTCTTACCAAGCACCTACTAAGTGCCAGGCATCCTTTTCTCATTATTTTTGTTCATCTTAATATAACCTACTTTTAAGATACACAGTACTGATCAATTTCATCCCAAGCGTGTGTCCTCAATTCACTCATAGGTGTGGCTGAGAAGGGTAACCTCGAAGACTGTACAAATAGTAAATGCTGGGTCGATGACTCAGACCTGTGCTGCCTGAGTCCAAGACAGGTTCTTTGCTCTCACTTTTAATTGTCCTGAGGATTTATTGCCCTGTCTGCACAGTGCCCATCTGTGGACAAAGTCCTAATGAGTCATTATATTTTATACACCATTTATGTTTTAAACACTGCTGGTCAGGCAGAAACACATGTCTCAACACTCCCTTAAGCGTTTCCCCGTCATCCTTTTAAGATCGGAGGAAGCTCCATTCCCTATCTTTTCTCCTTCCCCTTCCTGGGTGTGACATGTGTGAATTCACTTCTTTCTCTCTCAGGGCAGCACTGGGATTTTCCAAATCTGAGTTTTTAGTTATTTTTTTCTCCCCCTTTTCCTCCTATTTCTCCTTCCTTTCTCACCTGTGGTTGGCAGCCTTGATGATGGGTTTCCTTTGTCCTTTTTCCTCATCCTTGGCATTTGTTATGGCGTGGTTGACAAAAATCGGCATTGCCTAATCTGGGAGCCATATACTTCTTTCTTTGGGATGCTGAAAAATATGTCTGTCTACAAATTTGTGATAAAAAACTTCTCTTCTAAGGTGTCTGCTGTGTCTACAGTCTACTTCCTGGTTATGACATAACTGGAGGTGATGTGGCCATTTCCTTCTAGGATGTTAGTTTCACTTTTTTCAATCATTTCCTCTTTTTTGGCTGCAACTGAGTTTTCTGTCTTTTGCAAGAGGAAGTTCTCAGTAAAACCACTCAGGATCGCTGGCTACTCTGAGAAAGTTTAGAACTCAGAATCCAGGTGGCTGATCTTCCATAGTTACTGACCAATATGGGCTGAGGGAATCTGATTTTAA